TGCTTCCAGCTAACACATTCAACTAGCACACGTATTGCTGACATGGCACTATAAATATTCCACTATTACCTACTCTATTCAATCTTGAATAACCTCTATTTTAATTCTAACTAACTAAATATGGTTATAACACGCATACATGGAGCAAGTTCTTCAGAAATTGGAACTAGAGTAACAAATTATTGTTTATGAAATTCTTGTATTTGCACCATACGATATATATCATTCACTAGAATTGGAAATCTTTATTAGTATATCATCAAGTTGTGATAATTTGGCATCTAAAAGGTATGGTGTAGAACAGGATTAAATAACTATGTAGTAGTATCAACTCATTCATTCTCAAAAATTGTGACATTCATATAGAATATGGGAATGATATTGAACTAATATTGGAAGAAGTCAAAACTTCTTTGTTCAAGGTTGTTCAAGCTTCGATCAATAAGCTTGAGTGAGGTGTTGTTATAACGCATGTTGTTGATTGATAACAAGATTTAAGAGTTGGTTGAGCTTTCTAGATATCAATCGTTTATTGATTCTAAGTGGATGTACAACTAAAGAAAAATCTAACAAATGACGAGGCAAAGTCTTCAAAATCAAGTTGGTGGCTAAAGGTTTCACACATGATAAGGATGTGGACTACAACAAAGTCTTTTTCACATGTATCAAAGTATGTTATAATTTGTTGGATATGTGCACTAGCTGCAATATTTAATATTGTTATGCATCAGATGAATGTGGGTACAACTTTTATCTATGGATATTTACATGAGACAATCAGATGACTTTGAGGTTGAAGGCCAGGAGAGGTTAGTTAGTAAATTGCTAAAATCACTTTATGGACTGAAACAAGCTTCTAGGCAATGAAACACGCAATTTGATGAGTTCATGAAGGCATAAGGTTTTTTATAGAGTGTATATGATTTTTGTGTCTACATGAAGAAGATGAATGATGAAACTTTCAATTTCATTATACTAATACTTTATGTTTATGACATGTTCATCTTGGGAAGGAACTAACCAGATGTTAATAAATGCAAGAGTCAATTGAAGTCTTAGTTTAAGATTAAGGATATGTAGTATTTGAAGAGTATATTAGACAACATTATTTATAGAAATTTTGAAAAGAAAAGGCTATGGTTGTGTTAGGGCAAGTATGTTTTTAATATACTTAAAAGTTTCAACATGATCAAATTCAAATGAATGTGGATTGTCTTGATATCACATTTCAAACTTTCCGCAACTAAATGTTCTATCGATGACATAAAGGAAAAAATGCCTTGTGTTGAGTGTGAACAAGCTGTTGTGAGTTTCATGTATTTGATGATGTGCATTTGATATTGCTCTAGCGATGGACAAGGTGAGTACATTCAGTGAAATGAATTCTAAGATATTTCAAGAGTATCCTAAATTATGGCTTATTGACAAAGCCAAATTCTTGTTAAGTTACGTTAGATCTAACTATGGACAAGATCTGAACAAGAGTAAATCTATCATTGGTGTGTGTTTATATTTCATGATGGAAGCACTAATTGGATATTTATCTTGCACAGTTGCATAGTTCAATCTACAACTCAAGTTGAATATGTGGTGTGAGCCAAAGCGGCAAATGAAGCTATTTGATTAGACAGTCTTATCATGGAAATTGGATTGACACACATGGCACAATAAATTTTCATTGTGATAATTAGAGTGCTCTACATTTGGCTGCAAACTAGATCATGAAGAGTAGAATGAAGCACATCAACATTATTTTATCAGACAAGCAACATTTGATAAAACTATCAAGTTAGTCAAGATAAACTAAAAACTCAATCAAATTGATGCATTGATCAAAGTTATTTCTTTGAAGAGTTCTAAGCGACAAATTGCTACTATGGATGTTATGCATGTGAAGCACAGATAGAGTTTGCTAGCATAGTATTTTTAGTTGATTCTTTATATAATTACTCTATCATGTTATGATTATGATTTAGTTCTAGTTAACTCCGATTAACAAGATTAACATTGTGTTGGATTTTTATTCTCGAAGTTTTTGCGGAGAATGATACAAGGTACGGAGGTTACTGTTTACTCTATGCTAGCAACCTTTTTAGTTACTTTCTTAAATGGATATACTTTCCTATCCTGTATGGTTACGGTTTAGTTCCAGTTAACTCTGATTAACAAAAGGATCTTGTGTAAGATTTCTTTCTAAACTTTCCACAGAGTATTAATATAGTATACAGAGATTACAGTTAAGGGGAATATTGTTGAGATTAATTTCTGTTTAGAAATAACCTTGAGTTAAGTTTAGCTAGCTCTCCGCCTGAAGTGAGGGTTTTTAACCCCATAGATTCTTGATTGAAACAACATTTCACAGGTTAATCAAACGCGTACATGAATTCTATGCCATGGACGTGGCCCTTGAGGGTTAAACAAGTTACATCTCGTGTCTCATGTTTATTCTTGGTGTGAATCTACTGTCACTTGAGTTTCTTCTTTATTTCTTCTTTTTTGGTTTATCACTATCAATAATGAATTGAAAGTGTGATGTTCACAATCAAATATTATGATTCATCAGCACTCCCTTGCAAACATTTCAAAATTAGCATCCTTAGCTGCGAATGACTTCAAATTTAATGGAGCAAAAAGATGAAACGCTTCATACTTCTATACTTGAGAGATTTCAGTTGTTGCCACCTATGAAGTATTATGAATAACTATCATCTCATAAACTCTACCATACGTGGATTAGGTTACCCTCTTATTAGAGATCTCACTTGTTGCTGCAGCACTAGCTGTTCAACATGAAAGAGATGGAATAATCAACCTTCATTTGCTTGATTGGGATGAAGTATAATTTTCTATTATATATATGATAGAGGTTCCATCACATGTAAAATAGTTAAGAAACAAGAGTTATTTTATATTCACAATCTAAGTAGAAATCCTCACTAACCTTCTTAAACCTAGTGGCTAAAATATCTTCAGAATTTATTTTCTCCAGCATCTCTAAGTTTAGTAAGGTATATATTGCCAGAAGTAGGACGAAATGAAAACAGGTGTTTGGAGCTCCAATGAGTTGAAATTTAGAGGCAGTAATCATTGAACTCGTGAATTCACAGATCACGAGTTTTCCCAAGTCTCAATCAGCCTCGCAATCAGTTTGTCCTGCGAAGATTTTGTTTGTTCCGCCTGTCAGATCTCATGCCATAGTACAGAGTCTCCTTTGTACAGTTAAGTTGGCTTAGAAGTAAAGCTTGGCGTATCTATGAAGATTTAAATTATCAATGATTTTTTAGATAATATTTCCGTTAGGTGTTGTGTCTCTCGCATGAGGTTCAAAAGTAATCAAGTTGAACATGTTGGCTGTCGTTGGTTTGGAGTGACTGGTACTGGATCTAGGAGCACAAATCAAGAGACGAAAATAAGCACAAGACCAAAGACGTCACCTCGTTGGTCGTGACTGGTTTTTTCCGCTTTGCGCCTTGTGCTTATCGTAGAGCTGAGCTATCGGATCCGATTAACAACATTGGCAAAAGATCGACGTCATACAAGGAGACCAGCTAATTGGTAGAGCCCAGAAGATATAATGGGTAACTGGCATATACCGAAACAACTCTTGCCTGAATCTTCTTTCTTTATTTCTTATGGTCTAGTTTTATGTCAACAGGTGAAAAGAGCCACCAACCTCAGGCCGCAAATATATACAAACATTCTGCTGTACGAAGGGGGAGCAGCGCATTAAATAGAGCCCAAGGGCAAAATCCCTGAAAGAAAGAAAGAACGAGAGAGGACGACGAAGTCCAGCAGAATCCAGCTGAGCCGATGGGCAGCTCTTAGAAGCGCTCTCCTCTTCCTCGTCTAAGCTGAGCGCTCTTTTTCTATCCACCATACGAACATGCCCATCATGCAACAATGCTTTCGCTTGCAAGCCAGCTAACCTGGATCAGGCGAGAGGAAGAGCTTCCAGAATCGTGAGCCATCGGTTGATTCCACGATTTTCCGGTATCGATACAGATAAAAATCAGAACTTGAGGTCGGATGAACATCTTTGGAAAACCTTGCGAAAGTATGGCAAGCTTTCCTCGAGCCGTAGTGTGAAAAGTATGGCATGAGGATTTGCTGCGGTGCTCTTGCAGTTTTAAAAAGTCACGAAAGCTTTACAGGATTGCTCGACATAAAATGGAAACGTTATCTTTCCGAGAGAGGATGGAGATTGGAAGTGAAGATCAGACTCATTCGAAAGGCCGGCGTCCGGCGGAAGTCCATGTGATGATGGAACCAAAAAGAGAAGAGAAGCCTCGGCCAGAATAATGGATGAATTATCGTGTGATATCTTCCATTTCTCGGATCGAAGTTGGTTAGTGATTCGGTGTGATATTGTCAATAGATAGATAGATCGGCTCAAGATACCATCTTTCGTCACTCCGAAGATCACAGACCTCCGATGATGAGTACACCAAAGCGAGAGACACCATGTGCCTCAAGTGGCTTTTACCTCAACACCTACACGCGCATCTACTCCACAAGTACACTACAACTGCGGCATCTGACGAGTCCAGAAGTGAAGACGCCTGCTTTCCCGCAGATGGCCTAACATTTTATCTCTATGGTCCTTCTGAAGACTCTTTTCACCGAGGAAGTTTCACGCGAGTTAAACTCGCTGTGGTATACCACTGTGGTTCACTGGTGAAGTCCGACGCTGGGTAAGTCGGGTCTCCCTCGACTGCTGATAATTACGATTCCTTTACTTCAACTTCTTATTTCCCTTACAGGATATTTTTTCTCCATCCGTCACAAAACTCCCTCATGTTCTACAGATGCTCTATGCTGCCAAGGATAAAACACTCGTTGGCTCCAAAAGAGATCGAGATACCGTACAAGCAAGAATAACTTCTTCAAAGTAATACTTCGAATCCAATTTTCTCTCTCACACGAACGAATTGTGTGAGGGTAAAGACATGATGCAAGTGGTAATATTGTGCACAATCCCATAGACATGATGCGAGTGGTAATTTCGTGCACAATTTCATATTGCAGTGTACCAACGCGTGAGTTTCAAAATGTCTGCTTTGTAATATTTTTCGAATCCATATCGCGAGCATTGCTTCACTTTATATTTTAGTTTGGATCACACGATCATTAACCTCAATAGGAATCAGCGTGAAGGGCCGTAGACAGATGCATTCATAATGGCCTAATCCTGTTATACAGATTGTTGACATGGTGCGCTATATTAGGCCACTGAATTAGGACTCCCAGGGGCCCGTTAAAATTACAGTGATGTACAAGTGGAAATTGTGGCCCGGAGTTGATGGCTATAATAGCTGCACGTCTTTTGGTTCTGAGACACCGGTCAATTTACATTTCTCGTGAATGCATGACTGTCAGAGAATATCAGCTCGTTTATCGGTAATTGACCAAATTTTCCTTGTTCGAAGAGTACTCATTCACGGACTGTTGCCTCCTCCTCTTGGGATTCCTACAAGCTGCATTTGCATTCCTGCCATTCAACTCCAGTTCTCCTAATGCAGATCTCACTGACCTTGGGAAGTCATGTGGTGTTATATTACCTTTGTCGGTTTTACAAATATCGGGTTTCGAAGCGCCATCATACTCCCTGGCCTGCGCATCAACCTGAGATGAAATAACAAGGACGTCAAACAAAACGTCATATAATAAGCTGGAAGAATGCAGTAAACATGCCAACAATATTTCATATCCTATCCAGTTAGGACGCGATTTGAAATATAACCAAAAAAAATCTCAAACAATACGCACCACAGAATAAGAAGGCTTTTGAGGTGTCGGCTTAATGTCCTGCGTCGCCAACTGCAGAGCAGAAACCACTTGATTAGGCCCAAACCTTGACAAAACGTTTCACCGAAGTCTCTAACAGTACAAGCGGCATAGAGCTTGGGATATATTCCTTGTATGTTGGAACTATGAATTATGTGTCGTACAACAGAAACCCGTTACTTCCTAGGAACGATATATTGACGAAGTCCTGTATCAAGAAGTCGAACATCACAACAAACATATTATCTCGAAATCAAAAGTCATACTGCTGACTTACTTGTTCTCTCAACATTTCGACCTCGCGCAGAAGGCCAGAAACTTTAAGATCCTGATCACATATTTCTCCATGTCTTGGACGGTCAACGGAGTTCACTACAGGAGACAATATAGTTTGACCATCAACCTTTACAGGCGAACCAGCATGGTGAACCCGGCTGAATGAAACTGCTACGTCTTCATCCTGGGAAGTGAAGGCAAAAAATATGGATCAGTGTCAAGTTCAGATCCATCGAAACTGCCCAATAAACGTAAAGCAAGGATATTTAAGGATACAAGGACATGTTACAGAATAAGCCAGGAGTGTCACTTCATAATGACACAGCATACTGGCCGTGCTAGTGTTAAATGAAACACACATATCATTCCAGAGGTCAGACGTCTTCTTAACGAAAGTAGCGAAACACACAACTTCAGGAAGCTGATTTTCAATTACTGAATTTGGAAATATAATCCAAGGGACGGGAATATTAGTCCAAACCTTCAAATTCTCCTCCGATACGCGAGTGTGTGTTGTTGTCGTAGATGTCGTTCGCCGGGCCTTCATGAAAATTTAATAATCAAGGTTAGACTTGCTAGTCATCATTATCAGATATTTCCGTTGACGAACAAATTGCATTACATATTGCAATCAAACCGAATCAAAACAGCTTACCTTTCGACGCGAAAGGCGCTTTTCAGCTTTTGTAAGACAATTTCTCAAGAACACATTCTCCTCCGTGACCTCAATGAGCTTACGCTCTCTCCTAAGGTCGTCATCTACAGTTGGAACTTGCTCCAAAATCAGTCGAATTTCCTCTTCATAATTCTCACACTGAATCTTTAGCGCCTCCAGCTCCAGCTCAAACTGGAACTCCGTTCCATGTTGAGTAGTAACCTCGCACATCTGCATCCTGGAACTGTCGACAGTGCAGAATGAGCACATACCTCGATAATTGCTGATTAAGATATAATCACAGTACCTCCCTATTTTACTTTCAATTTTTCTCATCTATACGTATTGCTAAATTCCTAGATAAAATCCAATATCTTTCAAGAACATGAAAAGAGAACCCTGTTACTGTCTTGCCGAGGAATTATGTCAGCCAGTAAAGCTATCCATTAACATACATATCGCTAATAAGAAACATCCGATGGAAGTGTAGAAAAAACTCTTCACTTACCGCAGGTCTTCCAACTCGATTTTGAGCTCTACTACCTCCATTTCCGAAGATGCAAGTGAGCGCTCGAGCTCCTTCACTCTCTCCACCTGCACGACCAGTATAAATCTCTCAAAACGTTGGACACCCGGAGCCTTCTCATGCAGGAAAGTGCCGGAACCGTATAGTTTGTACTTTAAAAGAGCGAAAATATATAATTTAAGCTCTGCAAAAAGAATTATTGCTCACCTCGATCAGAAGCTGGTCTCTCAATTTTTCCTCCGAGTCAATTGTTCTCCACGTGAATTGCTGTATAGTTTTGGCCTTCGGGTACTGATCACAATTAGAAACTTCTAACTGCTTTTGGTCACAGTTCCCACCAATGTTCCAAGTTTGCATGTCGGCTGCAGTGACTTCATGTTTCTTCGTTCGAACCCGTCTCACCGCTCCTGTCATTGCGACACAAGTTCCCGATTGCAGCCCTGGACTCGGCTGCTGACGAAACATTTCCCCTGGTTTCAAAGAATCAGATTGATGATCTGATCTACCTGCTGAACCTATTTCTTTTATGTTCTCCACGCACAGCTGCAACTGCAGCGGTCCATCTGAGAATATAGAAGTGGGTTGCAGTCCGACGGTTAAAACAATAAACAGCGTGCTCCCCTGTACACGACCAAAGTGCAAATTAGTACTTGTTAAATATGAAGACATTACTGCTAGCGACAGAATCCTGACATGTCGCACGACTTCTTAAGCCCTATGTCTCTGGGTTCAGCCAAGTCGCACCAGAGATTTCCAATGCTTTTCGCCTAATATTAGTAGGAAAAGCGAGGGCGACGCGACAAGATATATTTAATTATCTTTTAATTTATTTTCTGAACACTCCTTTGAAACCAAAGTCTAGGCACACGTTAAGACTCACTTTCACCATTTGCTGTTCTCTATTTAGAAGTCGAAGCATGCTATATTGCAACAGTTCCCCCAGCATTTCTTCTACACCTTCAAGCTTCAAGACTCTGCAAAATTGAATTTGGACAGGATAATCTTTAGTCGCAATGCACCCTCTACGCTTACGCCAGAGTGAGTCATCCCTATTCCTTCTTTAGTTTGTTATGCACTGTCTATACGCGAGTGCAATCTAACTACCATATTGCAACGGAACAGGAAATTCGGATGAACTCGGACTTGAAGTCTCTATTGAAGGTTACGACGACGGGAGAACTCAATCGTTGTCAAAGATTCCTTTGGGAACAACTTGTTTCTGGACAAGTTCTATTATATATTACGAGTCCCGTCAGACGTAGCGGAGAAAACTAGGATCGAGATAAACAAACAGAACAAGAAGGCTACGAAGTTCATGTAAACTCCAGTTCAACACACCTGGCCGGAACTGCACCGGGGGAGATCTTCGTTGACGCATCCATGCTTGAGATCTGGAAAGTCACTGCCAATATTAGTTGCAAAGATTCGAAACAGAATAAATAAAACTTACAAAACTGCTGAAGCGTTGGATAATTGCAAACTCTATCCTCGAAAGGTAGGAAACTCATTATTCACCAAACGACAGGAAACTTAATAGTGCTAAGTTTTGTCACTCTATCAAAACACTCTACGTAAGAGATAACACAAGTATGCAGACTTCACTAAAACTCACCCGAAGGTGTATCAGTAATGGAATACAGATAACAGGTAAGTGGATGATCTACTTTCAACAATACAAAAAACTTTACCGTTGAGAAGGTTTGTTCTTTCGGTGCTGCCACTTGAGTAATTTGGATCGGGGTTTCTGTCTGAAGATACAAATTCTGAGTCAGCCCTTGACAGAACATTTATTGCGGATTATATACCCCAACTTCTAAAGTCGCAAAACTAAGTGGTGCCAAAATACCCCGACACTGAATCACAAAAGTTGTATGAGGCATCAGCCAACAGGTAGACAAGAGTCATTTGTCCTGAGAGATGAAAGTCTGAAATCAAAGAAGACATGTAAGGGAGGCTAACGTTCAGAGACTGAAAGGATCCAGGGGCTCATGTTATGAAGGATCGGCCCTGCAACAAGCGCACTTTCATCCTTGACAAGGGAAACCCATTCCTTTATTGCGTCCACATAACAATTCTTACTTGATTTATGAACTAACTATATGAGGAGAAAACCATGAGTGAAATTTTTTTCGACTTTCAAGGAGAAAGTCTAACCAACAATTCACTTTGGATAGACTCTTGCTACCGACCACGAGCTCCTCTCTGCTTTGGACCACTCCACTTCAAACCTGAGAACATTCATCTCACCGATGAATCTTCTTGACTAATGACTGCTATGAATATACACTAACTTGACTAAGGCTTTCTCCGTGATTTGGTCTCCTCTGCTCCAACTCCTTCTCGAAATTATGAATACCAAGGCATACAGCCGAAAGCACTTCGTCGTGAAGGGCCACTTCACCAATAAAAGTTTTTAAACTTTGGGCTAGCCTGATCTTCTCCAGCTTCGTCGTTGTCACAATTTCTTCCTTCCCATTGAGCTCCTCTACCAAAGCCTTCATGATCCTGTCCTTCTCGATGTATAGTACAGCAAGTTGTCGATCTAAAGTGGCTATGTGTTCTCTTGACATCTTCAATCTCTCAATCAGACTAGATTGTTCATCTGATCCAGGATCTCGCAATTTAGTGAAGAGAGAACCATCCTCTTGACACGCTTCTACGGAAACTGGACTCGCCTGGTCAAGCGATGATCCAGGTGTTGCCTGTGTGGAAGATTTGTCTTTGCCCAGTAAATCCATAGAACACGAGTTAACATTCAAAGATTCTACTCCCATGATACCCTGCTCAAGAAACAATGCTCGAGTCGACTCGTTTTCCAGAGCCCCACCGGGACCTATATATTTGGTGGCCATGCCTCTATCCTGCAGCTGTCTAGATTCTAGGCTTCTACTATGTTTCCCAGGAGCTGGTCCAGCGGCAGTTAACTTTGTAACATTGCTTGGGGTTCCCTCAACCCCAACCTGACAAAACAAGGGATCAGAGAAGCAGTCGAGCACTTTAGTATCATCCAGCTGAGGTAAAACACGACTACTCCTTACCTGCTCGTGCTTCTCCGTTTCCATTCCCGCCTTGGTCAACTCGGCTTCTACGGTTGGCACGGTGTTGAAGACGTCTTTCAAGCCTTGGAGTCTTAAAATGAGATCATTCATCGAATTCTCATCTTGGCAAGTAGCTTGCATTAGACCGATGGCTAAACTTGCGTTCTCGAGCAGCATCACCTGTAGTCCTTCCATTAGCAGCCCCACACTACCTCTCTCTTTGACGTGTGACTTTAAGCAATGCACATCATGTGCAAGGATACTGCGCAACTCTTCGAATAACCATGAAGTCAAGACCTTCGCACTGGCCAATCGTGCCTTCAGATTGATGTCCTCAATAACTGGAACGTCACGCACTCCACCTTCCGAACGCACATCTTCAAGTTTCAAAGAGGGGTTTAAGAGCTTTAGTATGTGACGACATAAGTTACTCATGGCTAAAGGGATCTGGTTCTCACCTATAAAAGCTCTTTCTTGATGCCCACACCTGTCACAATTTCTACCCAATGTACCAAAAGAACACCCAATATGCGGACAGGATATAAAATCCCTCCAGATACTTTCAGGTTCTTCGCCGTCCAATCCTGCTTGGTGTACACTGGGAGTAGAATGCTTGTGCGTACTGATATGCAGGGAACTCTTCGCATCGACTTCGGTACAATCTGGAGAGAACGATGCAAAACCCATATCTACTGCACACTTAACAGATGTGAGACGGTCCCTTCCAACATGAGATAGATAATCGTTGCCACCCACTGATCCTCTGAGCAACTTCATCACCCTAGAATGTGTCTCAGCAATAAGATCACATTCACATTTCAAGTTCTGTTCCTTGGACAAAGAACCCTGCTCAAAGTCATGCATGTTACCAGCTGAGAGAGCCGATGATACACAACCACCACAGTAAGTAAGTTCACATGGTGAACTTGATTGGGCATCAGACCCATTGTTTCTAGGCCCGAACATAGCCTGCGTCTGGGCATCTCTCGTGTCTGGAACACTGTGTGTGGGGTTTTTCTCCATTACTTGGCGTCCAGAATCATACGCATGAGCTTCCAGACTCCTCTCGGACCCAATATTCAGCTGAGCCAAGCGATTTTGGACGGCAACATCCACATCTGCACATATATCTCGACATTTCTGAACTGAATTTTCTACTAATGCTCTTCTCTCCCGAACTTTCTTGGCTTTGTAATCAATAGCACTGTTTCCAACTCGTCCCTTTGGAGGTGATGTCGCAAAACATTCCTGCAAAGAAGAAAAATACGGGCTAAGCTCGCAGACCTTGCGTAATAGCCTTCATTCACCAAATATTGGCGTTGCGACCACCGTTAAACGTAGCATAGTTAACAACGTTGAGAACTAGCCGTCGTTCAGAAGCGTAGATAATTCTCAATCTATGATGTGCATAACGATTCACGAATACGACCGTCAAAACTATGACATTGAAACTGAGGATCCTCGACTTCCGCAGCACCATGTGGGTAACACCTAAAGCAAAACGCATAATGTGCCCAAGGGTCGTATAGACATACTTGAATGTTCTGCACCACGACAGCTTGAACATGAAGGGAATCCACGAGAATTCCTTGTAAGGAGGAAGTGAGAAGACGAGCCGCGTCCATTTCACACTCCACATCCTCTACCGCAGATCTTAGACGTCTTTGAGACTCTAGCTGGGCATTCAATTCGTGCTGCACGACCAAGACAGTAATGAGTAAGATATTTTTACAGAGGGGCAGACAAATAGCAGAGGGAGAAGTGGTGGATTGCTAAGTTTTTGGAGGTGCAGATACCGTATTGAGTTAGCAAGTATTCACATGACGAATTTTTCTGACCGAAGTCCCCCAAATCAAGAGAGGAGAATATCAAGTTTCTTACCGTCAAGGCTGCATTTTCACTTCGCATCTTTCTAAGGTCCGATCTGAGACTGCCGTTTTCTTCCAGCACCTTCTCGAGTCGTTTCTTTGAGTTTTCAACGTCGAGTACAAGTTCAGTCGTTGATTCCTGGAGCTGTATCCGGACAAACCATCAGACATTCTACGTGGAAACACGACTAGAATTTACCACAGGAAAGAACATGATATATTGGAGATCATGCATGAAATAACCTTTGTTCTGTACTTAAAGCTGCATATGTATTGAGTTCTAGACGAAGGTACATTTTTAACGTCCAGATCATACTGTAGCACAAATCATAAAAAAAACATTTCAAACAGAAAATTACCCCGGGTTATGTTTTAATAGAGACATGCAATTTATGTGTGATAAGAAACATGTGTTGGGTCAAATATGGGTCAGCGGTAACATCGGACAAGGAAATTTACTCACTTTCAAGTCAAAATTTCTTCTTAGGTCCTCGTATTTCTCTTGAAGGTTCTTTAAATCGGCCTCAAGCTGAAAACCAAGGACAGAGCAAATGTATATTGAGCAAGTACATCAGGATGCCATGGAGGAAGAAACAATGACGATGTATTCAGTTCATGTGCAGACAATCGACTGATATGTACAGGTGAGCGAGCTTATCTTGAAAAATCTGAATAGACGGTATTTGTATTTTTAACTTACAGACGCGAGTTTTTCTGCTTCGGAGTTTCCTCCAGATGATCTGCTTCGTTCAAAAAAGCTAGAAGTAAACACAGTGCTGGAGGTCGTGTGGCCCTTGTTCAAACTCATCCAGGTGTCTTCATCAGCTATATTCTCGAAATCTGTAGGTGGCGGAGGCTCCTCGATAGCATTGGAATCATTCCATGCTTCGTCATCCACTAAAGTATCGAACGCTGGCGGGAGATCGAAGTGTCGGTCCCTTCGCATTGAATAGAGAATATTGTCCATGGCTTCATCCTCTATGTGTTTGCCTGCTAGCTTCCAGCTGAAGTCCTGGAGAAACACGAGATAAACCTTGAACCTTGCTTACTTAAGGGCAGGATGCCTCGGTGAGAATCTCCACAGACGTAAAGGCTACCTGTTATATAACAAAAAACGTTTGGCTATTGATGGACACCGGAGATTTTGCTTTCCGGAGAGAAAGAAAACCTTGACCAGCCGTCAGTGTATTCGTAGAGATCCATAGTGGCCCTAAAACTGATCGCTCCTCATTAATGTACAGTACAAAGGATAATCGGCGAACAAAATGTTCATGTTTTGCAAGTTAGTCTACTTTGAGCATTTAACTTTTAATATATATGAAGACTGAAAACATGACATCTCAGATGGAAAATTACCTGCGCAGAGAGATCCGAGTTAAGCTGACGAGGGCACCAAGTCTCCCGTCGATTGACCTGAGACCAAGAAAGATTATCAATCGCAAGATAAAACTACTTTCCTCCAATGAAATCACCGATAGGTCTGATTTTTTGAGAAACAAACGTTCCAAGAATTATGAAAACAGCTTCTCTTCGATCAATAAACCCTGCCAACTTTTGATACCTTCTTGGCTTGTTTTTCATTGTCGCGATCGTCAACATTGGAGCTCATAAACAAGGTGCTTAAATTTTCGATCTTCTGCTCTTGCTCCTTGATGCGACGTTCGCGATCTATTTGTGCTTTCTTCTCTTCTTGTAGTTCTAAGAAGAGCCTCTCTTTTTCCAATTCATACTGAAACAATACAAACGAGCCATTCTCAAAGAGATTGAATACTACAACCTTCATCGTGCATGGCGTATCCTTCACTCAGAACATGCATGTCGATCAGAGAGAAATCAATGTGCATAGACGTCGACCTTTAATAACTCGTTCCGAAGATTCAAAATCTCCTTCTCCAGATGCTCTGATTGCGGCAAACCCTGATGCATGTGAAGACCAACAACTTAGATCACTATTCACAAGACATGTGCTGAAGATAAGTATATGTCAATGTCAAGGACGTTCAACATAACACCGCCACAACTAAAGAAACAACTGTTTCGTTTAGATAGACAGCACAGGTTGTTCCATATGAACATGAGCAAGAAGATAAAATCGGGACATATTTTTTATTAAAAACACTGGTTTTCTAAGTCCAAATTACATCCCAAGTTGAAAGAAACGGCAACCATAAATACCTGCAGCTTCGATCTTAAATCCTCGATCTCTCTGGTTTGCCGTTTGAGTAATGCAGCATCTGTCAGGATCTAAGGACAAGTGCAAAGCGCACGATTTGTCAACATGCTTAAAAGATCCATCTTCTCATTAACAAAAAAATCGGAACCTTTGAACCATAGTGAAGGAATGAATCGAGAACAATACTTCTCTTCCGGCCATGAAGACTTACTTCATTGACTTGGGCACAATTGGTGACTTTCTTCGCCCTACTTGCGAACTGCAGAGTTCCTCTTGTCTCATCTATGTGTATCTGCAGTCATTCATTAGAGACATCTGAGACCATTAGAATGAAAACCTAGCCATCATAGGGAAATTCTTCGCTTGAATTTTTTACTGATCTAAGTCATAAGGCTCTATTGAGCTGCAGACAACAAGCGTTAACCGTTTGGTCACGATATGAGGCTTACCTCGTCTGGTGTTACTGTACATATCATAGCCGTTTTGGCATTGCCACCCAAAGCGGGTTGAAGTATGCGTGTTAGTTTACTGTCTCGATATGGTATGTGTCCACTGCAATTACAAACATAACCAGTACACAATCTTATTCAGCGAATAACAATCACAGTTTGGTGTTGTCTGTACATACGAGGAAGACATATATAATTTTCACTCACCCGAAAGGCATAAATGAGGAGTGAGTGTCATCGGAACAAGAGACGAACAAGATAACAGAAATCTTAATTTCTGTAACGAGGAAGAATGTCCTCGCATGACTTGTTCCAATCAAAAACCATTTGATGCGAACATTAAGGAGGAGAGGGATGAGGCATCAGATGAGGATGCTTGAGAAACGAAGAACGTGTTGCCTAAGAGAAAGTACCCTTGTTTCCCAGGTCCTTCGCTCAGTTTATTGATGACAGTTCCTAGAGTCATGAGACTTTTGTTGATATGTGTTCCTTCTTTCAGACGAACTCCTCCGGCCCCGGTCTTCGCGATTCGCTCTGACCCTGCTAAATCTACCAAGTTCTGCGTTCACACATAGCACGAATTGGAATAAGATTCATTCCTACTCCTTTAAGGCACATCTGAGCATAAAGAAGAACGTCATTGGGTGGACCAAATGCCGGCCAGGTGTGGAGGCGGGGAAACGACGAGCGAAACCTACCAACGCTGACACACGCACGGCATCCGAATTGCTGTCAACTTCAAGTCCATCTTGAGTCATGTCTCTGCTCTCGATCACCTGGCATGTTTAATCATGAAATCAATGTACATCAACAAACTAAGAGACACAAAAGTAAATAGCAAACGAATAATGGAAAAATATTCTAGGTACTGAGTTCGTTCCTCATTCTACTTTTAGTTGCGAGTTGTCGACTTCTACATGATGCAGACGCAAATGGATCGTACCATTCGAAATATGGTGTGTGAACGACTGCTGTACAAGTTCATGTTAGTCTCTCCAAAATGCCGATGACCTGTTAGAGCGAAACGAGTGCGTCAAAATAGACCAATTTATCAGAATATCATATCTGATTTCATAACATGCTTTACAGCTACAGATAGAAATTTTAATTCTGCCTCATCAAGATTGTATTACACATATTACGCATGAAATTGAAATTTACTTACTCTCGCCAAACTCCAGAAGATTAAAAACTTGTTCAGGACTGTCCACAATCTCTTCCCTCAGACCAGCGACGAATATCCCTTTCTGTCAATTAGAATAACGTAAACTCGCAGCAAAAGAAATTCAAATTGCCACAAGCAAAAGAACGTATTTAGAGCATACAGGTGAAAACAAAACCAATGCTTGCAGAGCCTATAACTATTCAGGAATCAAGTTACACAAAAGAAGACAAGATGATCTTACCTCCAGGTTTTCATGGATCTGAAGCCTGCGATTTTCAGGAGCAAACAAATCGTTGATTTCCTCGTTGTATATCTCCATGTAGGACACTCGAATGAGGAACTCCCTGCTTGCTACCTGTTTACTACGCGATGAATCCATCATTCTCCGCCATATTACCAAACACTAAATATCTTTGACTTTCCACAGGGAATTCTCTAACGGGAACTCATGATACTCTGGTAGGCTACCATTCATGTAATACAGCAACTCAGACTAGGTTCGTACAATTAATAAGCTACTCCTAGTTTATTTCTACGTCTTTGATGTCTTAAACAGAGCACGAAATCACAGAATTTTTTACCTCCTGGATTTTACTGAACACGTCGTGGACGGCCAGACGTATAATTCCAGGATCCGCAGGTGTACCCTTCATAGTGTAAGTTTTTCCACTGCTGGTTTGTCCATAGGCAAAGACGGTTCCTGGTCATGGACACAGATCTTATCAGGATCATGAACAAGTCCTTCTACCTCTCATCAAGGCAGAAAACTGAAAATTTCCTTGGTTAAGATTGCACGTCAAAGATAGGACCAATGACACATTCAGCTAAATTCAGTTCGGCAATTAGTATTGCATGACTCCAAGAAGTTACACCAGTGCAATAGAAGCAGATCTTTACTGTCATATGCAGAACTATTGAGATCTTACTAGAGAAACTTAATGTTGTCCTGCTCCATGATATTTGACAGACTTATCCTCAGCCCAAATTTCAATGCCCCCTTGGTGTGATATTATCTATCCAAGTATCCACAAGTAACTTCTCGTTGCACTTCACGACGATTTTAACGACGATTACACAGGATGCCTTAGGCTCCATCGATTGGGTTAACGAGTTAAAATACATAATTGGGTGAGAATCCAAGTCTTGTGTAGATAGTTGTTCCACTCTTGTAAGTTTATTGTTGGTCAAAATCACTTTAGAACGAATGCTCTTCTGTGCGTGAGCGAGATACTAAAATCTGAACAAAGTTTCCCGTCTCGACAGCTTTCAAATCAACATGACTAGAAACTGAGTTACCATTAAATCCGCTAAGAGCAGACATGATGACATCCTTGGTGAGTCCACGGTAAATGTCTGCATTCTTCGATTCTGTGCCGTAAACATGATCTGCGTTACCAAAAATAACAGGATTCAGATTGAAAAAATCAAAATGTAATTCTTCAGATGTCAAACAATTCATCGGTGCTCTGTTGAATTTGAACCATCTGTACTGGAGGATCGCAAACCTCCTCCCACTTATCAGTTGATCACTCACATGTATGTTAACAGAGACAGACGACAACCGCTTTCAGCACAGGACAGAGTCCACGCGGAGGTTTTTGAAGCTTGGATACATGATTCTGGAGTTAACGCATTTCCAAGCACGACAATACGAAATGGCAGCTACTCGAGGTCCACATTCCGATCATTCACTAATAACATTCAGAAAAATAGAAGCTGATGTTCAGTTTTTTGAAAGCTTGAAGGGTTTGGCTTGTACCAAATGAATAAGACTGGCCATTGACAGGGGTGCCCAGTGTGCTGTATAGAGCGACATTGTGCGGTCCAACTCGCCACTTGTGACCTTTGGCAGACTGAGACTCTGGCTTGGTGGGCGGGCGAACTCGGATAGCTACACAAATCTTCTCCATCCTTTCTACATACAGCTGAGATCTAATCGCGCGTCCAATCAATTGTCATGCAGCAAGGTTCTCTCTCCTCGTCCTCGGTCCACGGCGCTGCTTCATGGTCGGGCAAAATACTCCACCGCGCGAGTGTCAACGAGGCTCAGAGTGCCCATGATACCGAGTCACGCAGCGCTCACATGCAGGCAGCAAGATTCAACGGAGAAGATATAACCATAAGCAAAACAGTAGCAAGAACGGTGAATAAGCCTTCGGCGGGATGGCTGATGACGAGGAGGCAGACATTTGCTTGCGGAAGGCACATCAAACAAGGCGGGAAACGCCTCCGGTGGGACGACGGCTTCTTCACCGACGGATCACGTTGCCACATTTCGTCCAGCACAGAAACTCGCCAATGTAAAACTCCCCATGAGACTCCCGGTTCCGGAAGCGTGGAATCGCGATCAGCTCGAGACGGCAGACCAGATTGCTGCACACTGATCCAAAGGTCCTACGGAGGAGTCGAGCAGAAGATCTTCAGCCCTCCAGAAGCGCAACGCGATGCGTGCAAGGAGGCAAAGGGCACGGCTGTCAAGGAAAGAGCTGATCAGAGAGATAACCGGAGGCGGGATTCGAAATAGAGACAATGCTTCGCAAACATTCATTCCGGATCGGGACGCCGAGACCGTCAGTGACACAACTCGCTCCAATTTCGCTCCAGACACAATCGGCCTCCCGGAGCTTCGCGCATCGAGTGCCCGCACAGCCCCCAGTCTCCAGCGGACCCGAAATCGAAGCAGGGTGCCGCCAACGGCTGGCCGCCACATCAGCTTCTAACGACGAATCAGCAACTCACCATCCGCCACTGCGGTTTCAAGCCTTCTGATCCGTGGACTCCCGCGTTTTCTCCATTTCAAACCAGGTCCCAGAAGTACGGTCTCGTATAAGTACAAAGCGATGGTTTTCCTGTACGTAAAATACAAAATTCGAAATCAGTTGCCCACGATGTCGCCGGATCGAACTTGCCGTTACCCTTAACGGTCGGTCAATAATGCATCTCCATGGCTGAAATTGTTGTGAATGATCCAAATAAAAGATCACGCATGCCATGTCTCACGTTCTGGATAAATGAGTAATCTTCACATCTATGTACGATGGAACAAAAATGAAAATTTCTATCTTATGTACCATTAGCAATTTTGAGATATTTCACTGTGACCCGCATACACTAATAAATGGTTTTTTTTATCAACTCTTTCAAGTGATTCAGCCCGAAACCTACGACACAACAAGTAGAACGACAGGATGACTAAGGAAATAAAAACATTTTGAGGATACTAAGGAAATAAAAACATTTTGAGGATACTAAGGAAATGAAACCCTGAAAACGAGTTCGAGCGTACGACTATAGCGTCTACGCATCAACTCACGTATCAGGGCAATACACCGGATTCAAAAATATTACGTAATGTTTTAGCATATAGTATTAAATCGTATACACACATACATATCTTTCATATAGATGAAAAAATTTGATCGTAACCATGACTCCAACAAGTAGAGAAAATACAAGTAAGTGAAAAACATGGATGATTGAAAGACGGTGTGAGGTCTTGATAAAAGTTCTAGATCATGTCCACAGCCATCGCACATTTTTGGCTTATATATATCTTGTGATGATTGGGAAATCTTATTCAAAAATTCGAGGATTCAATCTTCAGAAAGTCAAAAAATCAAAGGAAAGTAAAAGCTCTCGGTACATTTCGGCAACTTGAAATTCTTGTCGGAAATTCTCCAAAGAATGTTGACACCAGTTTATTCTAAATTCACCTTGGTCAAACTAACCTCAACCTTGAATTTCCATCTCAATAATTGCAAAACTTACCCATGCTTGTCACAAGCATTACCTCGGTGGTATTCAGTGTGAAAACTTACTAAGATGTGTTCATCTGGGGCCTTATTTTGGATATTTATCCAATTCGTGGATTCTTGACAAATATCGCACAACCTGCATCACGTTATTTGCAATTCGCTGAATGCAGGTCAATGATTTTCGTATGCTCATGTGATCACAATAATTGTGGTTTGAAAGATTCTGATTTTCTACTGTAGAAATTGAATATTTGTAAGAATAATTTGTAATTTCATAGTTTGATAATGAAACTATACCGTGACCAAGTAGATAAGATTTATGAGTTATAAGTTGGCACAGTGTGAATGAAATTTCTCATGTACCATGAGAAATACAATGTATATATCATGAGCATGCATTGTTGTATTAGGTTACTGTATACGGAGACGCCTAAAATACATAAATTGTCTTGTGATTATGTGACTAAATTAATGTTGGTGTGATTTGGTGCTACATGTTGCAACCAATGGGCAGGTACACCTATGCAAAATCGACAAATATTTATTAATTTTTACTAAATTAATGTAATCTTTTAAAAAATTTAAAATTTTGTTAAAGCTAAATTGGCCTAAATTAACTTTTAGCATATTATGTTGTTGAGGTTAACTCATGTTAAGAAGTAAAATCAGGTCTGAACTATATTTAGCTAGTACGGTCATCTACACAAGGATTATATACCCGGCTTCTGTTCTACATGAGTTCAGTATTGTGAGTAAAAGTGCAATGTGTTCTCGGTGGACGTAGCCCTGGTTCCAGAGTGAACCACGTTATATCGTCTTGGTTGTAACTTGATTGTTAATATTTTCTAGGTTTTACTTCTACAATTGGTATCAGAGCCGGATTTCGATTCGGAATTGATGAAAGGTCTCGTTAGAGTTGAAGTTGAATTTACTGACGGTTTTCTGAGACGAACAGGTTTTGGTTCGGAATCTAACTTTAGACAGGAGACATTTTTTCTAACGAATTTTTGAAGAGTAACAGTTTTTAAATGGAATCACTTCAGTTTGTAGCCCCTTCCTCTTCTCCAATGCCCCAAGTTTGCTAGAGATACGTAATTCCGTCTATCAATGAAATTACTAGTTGCTGTACTCACTTTGGCACCTTCAAATATGTGTAGTTATGTGCATTTCACTAACACATCGATTTGATATCAAACTTGATTGCTCATGCTCTATGTACTCTCGAGATTAACGCTTCAACAACAAAATTTTGTTGTGCAACAGTTTGTCATCTAGCATGTTAGAGCATGTGTCTACCGCTCGGATTCCTTTTTACGGTGATTGTTTCAAGCCTCGTGCACTTGAAGAGGATTTATGTCATGATTTTTCACCTTATTTTTTTTGGATTCGTCTTTCATCATCGTCGGAAAGCATTAAGCATGTAGACGTGGGTCGAATCAGGATCTATCAACCTGTAAGTTCTGCTGAATTTAAGATCTTTGTCCGACGTTGTCAATTTTGATTACTTCTCGGAAGATGTTTAGTCTTTTTCTTGAGTCTTGTTGAAGATACTGCTCGCTGATTGTGGAATTAGCTCAACATGACGTGTGCAAGTGGGTTTCAGCCTTTTCATAATGATCGTAGGGAGTAATTTGTGTTTCTTTGAGAGGCAGAATTGACGATTCATCCTTGGACAGATCATGGGTTGGTCATTTTAAATCAAGGGGCAGCTTAAAGTCTATGTTTCGACAATGCAAAATTTGACTACCAAGAAGGTTGATGTCATATGTTTTGTGCCCTGACTACTTTGTAAGTATTATAGAATTACTCATGACGAGGGGTACTAGCTCTTATTCAGCTATTTAGACTGCATGCTAGGATGAGTCTCGGACGCAGTAAGGCATGGACGCAGTAAATCTAAGGCAAGGATGAGTCGCGGGCGCAGTAAGGCGTGAACGCCGTAAATCGCGAGCGATTGTGAGTTGCGGGCGCAGTAAGTCACAGGCGACTGTGAGTCGCGGGTGCAATAAGGCGTGGACGCAGTAAGTCGCGGACGACAGTGAGTCGCAAGCGCAGTAAGATGTGACCGCAGTAAAACGTGGATGCAGTAAGTCGCGGGCGACGATGAGTTGCGGGCTCAGTAAGGCATGGATGCGGTAAAGCATAAGCGTAGGAAGGCGCGGACAACTGTGAGTCGCGGGTGCAGTAAGGCGCGGGTGATTGTGAGTCGCAGATGCAGTAAGACAAGGACGTAGTAAGTCACGGGCGACTGTGAGTCGCAAGCGCAGTAAGGCGTGAACGCTGTAAAGAGTGGATGCAATAAGTTGCGGGCGACGATGAGTTGCGGGCATAGTAAAACATGAATCCGGTAAAGCATAGACGCAGTAATTCGCGGACGACAGTAAGGCGTGGACGCGGTAAGTTTTGAACAATAGTAATAGTTAATCGTAGATGCAGTAAGTCGGAGTGTCGGTGAGTGGTGAGTGTCAAAAGAATTCTTGTCAAAAAGATTATCTTTCAATGTGTCTAGCTCATTGAAAGAGGGGGAGAGTAATCTTATCATTTTAATGTGCATAGCTCGTTGAAATAGTGGAAGATTGTACATGATCTTCATATTGACAGGTAAAAATCTGAGAGTTTAAAAGTGTAATAGTAACTTAACCTAAGTTAAGAAGAACTATACTTAACTTGATATGAGAGTTTAAGAGTGCACTGGTGACTAAGATTTCTTAACACATGTTAAAGGGAAGATTGTTAGTTACCTCTGTATATTATAACTCTTTCCTGTTATGACTAAGTTCTAGTGAACTCTCGTTTAAAGAATAATCTTGTGGTAGGTTTTCGTCTAAAAGTTCTCGCGGAGTAATAATATAGGTTAAAGAGGTTACTGAGTTTCTTTTTAACATGGGTTAAGGGGGGAGATTGTTGAGTATAACTCATGTTAAGAAGTAACATCAGGTTCTAACTATATTTAGCTAGAACGGTCATCTACACAATGATTAAATACCAGGCTCCTGCTGTACATGAGTTCTGTCTTGTGAGTAAAACTGCATCGTGTTCTCGGTGGACGTAGCCCTGGTTCCAGGGTGAACCACGTTATATCGTCTTGGTTGTGAATTGATTGTTGGTGTTTTCAATATTTTCTAGTTTTTACTTCTACATATGTTAGCTTGAATTAACTTTTTAAGTAGATTAAATTAGCCTAAATTAAAAAATTTGAGTAAACTAAATTAACATTTTTGAGTAGACTGAATTAACTTAAATTAATTTTTCTTCAAGAGACTAAATTAATCGTATTTAGGTAAATTAGGAAAAGTGATTATTATAACCATACTTAATCATGAGTAATGGATCATTACTCACTCTTCATCCATTGTATTGTTAGTAGTTGATAATCATATACACTTTGAAACGAAAAAATCATAGCTTTAAAAAAACAAAAACAAATTTATAAAAAACTAGATTTTTACTTGCTTACTCTAATTATATAAAAATTATTAACCACAATAATAAAATTGTATTGTGATTACATCTATATTCTATGAGTGAATTTAAATGATACTTTTAGCAGACCTTAGATTCATCTTCAATATAATAAACTATTTATAGTTACATATGTTGTGAATGTACAACTAGCAAAAATTATCATCTCCTGAATTACTAATAAACTTACTTTTTGAAAAAATATCAAATATTTTATTTCAAACCTTGAATTATCTTAACAAGTTTGTAAAGTTACACATCTGCTTAACAATCATTTTGGACTCCAATCGAAGTTATTCAAATGTGTTAAAAAATTACATGAACTTGAAATTGTGTATGTAAGATATGAAGCTTGCATAGGGATAATATTCATACGTAGATCATTCGATAATTGAATATTGTCAATGTATAATGATTAGTTACAATGTAA